GGCAGGAGCCCTTCTCCGGGTTGGATTGGCAACCCGATGGGGCCGCGCGAGTTTGACCTGCTGCGGGGCGTTGACGGCTCGGAGGTGGCTATCCATGCCTCACGGGCGGACACTCGTTGCCGCTCGCGCTCGGTGAGTTCGCTGAGGGGGATGGGCATGTATACGACCGGCTCGTCGCTCTTGTGTTGATGTTGCACGGTCGAGTTGGGACGGCCCGGCATGATGTAGATGCGCTTCATGCCGCTCGGTCGGCGCACATGATGCATGTGCGGTGACATGCGCGCGAACACGGACGAAGTGGTGAAGACGAGGTAGAGCTGGAAGAGGAAACGAAGAGACGTCCAGTCAGCACGGGGCCCGGGTGGGTTTGAGGTCAAACGGAGTTTACTCACGCGTACGAGTTGGACGATAAAGAGGAAGAAAATGACGGCAAAGACGACTCGCTGGGACCACTGTTCGCAGTTCTCGAGGGTGATGCCCATCTCTGCGAGGTCCATCATCATGTCGTCGTGCCGCGACAGTTCCTCGCACAGGTTGTTGCGGAGATCCATGTACCGGCTCGAGGCGTACACCGCGGCGACTACCGCCGTCGTCGTGCACGCCAGGTCGGCGATAGCGAAATCTCGCCAGAGACGCACAAAGCGAGGCGAGCGCTGCGTGCGAATGTCAGCCCGGGCGAATCGCCGAAGGAGAAGGCGCGCACCTTGAGCATGCCGACGAAGCCGACGGCGTTGGCGAGGGCGGCAGTCAAGAAATAAAAGGCGGTGAGGCCGCCGAGGGCGTTTATGGATCTGACCCAGGCGTTTGCGAGCCCCTCCCATTCGCTCTCACCGAGCTGCTGGGCATCGCGCTTGCTCGAGCGCCAGAGGTGATATAAAGATACGGCGAGACAGAAATTGGCGGCAGAACAAAGAGCGGCGAGGGCGAGGGCGGCCACTTTCTTCCAGCGAGGGAAGCTCATCGTTCTAGTGGAGGTCGTATGGTGGCAGGAGCCAAGCGGCGGTGAGACGCCATCACCACCGCGCGAGCGCCTGTGTGGGCCGACTCCGTGTCTCCGTGCCGCAACCGCATCAACATCTCGACTGTCATCACTCCTGAGCTGACAGAGCCCGGTCCCCGTACGAACATAACCCAAACCTGGACACCCACCTGCCCATCATGATCGCCGACACTGCATACCGTTCGTCTATACCCCTCGGAGTGACAGCGATCACTTATACTACTTTCGCAACAACCCATCTCGCGATCGAGTACGGCGAATCCCTCAAGGGGTTTTCTCGGACATGTCATCCTGGCCATGTGCGGTTCGGATTTTCTCTGAAAGTATAAGACCCCCTCGATAGCTGGGGCGATCCGAGGCCGTAGCACTATCTGCGCCTGCTCTTACGATCATGGGCTCGAACCTGCGCCGAGAGCTTCACGACGGCTGGTCGTTCACTCAGATCGGCGGTGGCGAGGGTACCAAAGACGGCGAGTGGCTCGAGACTGCCAGTTTCCCGACTTCGGTGCACGTCGAGCTGCTCAGGCTGAAACGCATCCCGGATCCGTTTCTTGGGCTGAACGAATGGGATGTTCAATGTATGGCAATGCAACGCGTTCGATATCATGGTCTCACTGCGCTACTTTGCAGGGATCGGTGAATCAGAGTGGGCTTTCAAGAAGTCGTTCTCTGTCTCCGAAAGCGAGCTCTCTGCCCCCAAAGTCGAGCTTGTGTTCGAGGGTCTCGACACTCTCGCAGTCGTTGAACTGGCAAGTCGCTCCCGCATGACGTCGTGGTCAAGCACTCACCCCCATGCAGAATGGAAAGAAGATCCTGGAGTAAGTTCAGTCAGCAGAGTACCTGCATCGATCGTGTTTGAGCATACAGCGCAGGACTGAGAACATGTGGGTTGAACATCGCATCGACGTCAAGTCCGCTCTCAATACTGGCGACAATGAGCTACACCTCTCCTTTGCAAGCCCATTCATCAAGGTCCGTCGCCGAAGGATATCTGAAAAGGGCAACACTGACAACTGACCACAGGGCCGGGCTCTTGACCAACAACACGGGAAGAACCAGTTCTGGAACGGCGATAGCGGACGCCTTCATATTCGCAAGACGCAGTACAAGTACGCTTCCTTCGGTTTCCCTTTGGTGCTCTTGGCTTACGCCGGCGTAGCTGGGGGTGGGACTGGGGACCTGTTCTCATGACTGTCGGTCCATGGAAGCCCATCTACTTGCACACGTACACTCATCGTATCGCGGACCTCCGCGTCTCCTCGAACGTGAGCGAGGATCTGAGCGTCACTGGACAGGTGACGTTCGACCTGGACGGCCCGGTAAAGGAGGGGTTGCAAGTCACGGCGAGCATCAAGGCGGCTTCCGGCGCTCAGCTGGTCGCTCAGGAGCTCAGTGCTGGCACCGGGAAGTTCGAGTTCTCTCTCAAGCCTGAGGAGGTCGAACTTTGGTTCCCGATCGGCTACGGCAAGCCGGCGCTGCATACCTTCACAGTGGCCCTGAAGGACGAGGTATGTGTTTACTATGTCACGTTGACGGATTGGCGAGGCTGACAATGTTTAGCGTGGCAATGTACACGACGAGAAGACAAAGACCATCGGCTTCAGGCGTGCACAACTCATTCAACGCGAACTGATCGACCAGGACGGGCTAAGCTTCTTCTTTGAGATCAACAACATTCCCATCTTCTGCGGAGGCTCAAACTGGATCCCTGCGGACTCGTTCCTCACTACGTGCGTTCTCATCTACGCGTGTCTGTTGCGATCTTGACGCGGCTACGGTCTGCCACAGCATGACGCCCGAGCGCTACCGTGAGTGGCTTGAGCTTCTCGTTCAAGGTAATCAGAATATGGTCCGCGTATGGGGCGGCGGAACCTACGAGGATGAAAGCTTCTACGACACATGCGACGAGCTCGGTATCCTCGTCTGGCAGGACTTCATGTTCGGCTGCGGGCAGTACCATGCCTACAAGGAGTTCGTCGACAATGTTAAGGTTGAGGCCGAACAGGCAGTCAAACGCCTGCGTGACCACCCGTCAATCATCATCTTTGCTGGCAACAACGAAGGTAGATGCCAGTTTCGATCCTACGTATTCAATGCTGTTCGTTGACGTTGTCATTCGACGCCAGATTACACGCTCGCCGAATCTATGAATAACATCCCTCTTCCCGCCGCACCCGCGATCTACGAGGGCATCCTTCCCGAGATCGTCGCCAAGTTCAGTGAGATCGTCTACCACCGCGGCTCGCCGTACAGTGGGCACGGAAAGGAGTCCAACGATGTCAAGTACGGTGACTGTCACCAGTGGAACGTATGGCACGGCATGCAGGAGCCATGGCACAACTGGGACAAGCTTTCTGCGCGCTTCGTCTCCGAGTTTGGGATGTACGCACGGTATTTTGCCCTGACCGTTCGCTGTGGCTGATTGTTCGCACACAGGCAAGGGTACCCCGACAGACGCACTGTGGATTACTGGAATGATTGTAATACGTTCGAACGCTACCCTCAGTCCAGGCAAGTCAATGCGCCATACAGCGTCCATACATTGACATTGACAATGGGCTCAGGACGAGCATGAACCACGACAAGGCCGAGGGATCTGAGCGCCGTCTTGAGCTTTACCTGATGGAGAACTTCAAACACGCCTTCGACATGGACAGGTCAGTGATACCCGAGTCTTGCCCGAGTCTATGTCATCGGACAACTCTGACCGACCATCAGTTACATCTACTACACCCAGATCATGCAAGCCGAGACCCTCTCTTCCGCGTACCGCCTCTGGCGCCGCAACTGGAAAGGGCCGGGCAAGGAATACACGGCGGGCGCCATCGTGTGGCAGATCAACGACTGCTGGCCGTGTGTCTCTTGGGCGATTGCGGACTATTTCGTCCGCCCCAAGCCGGCCTTCTTCGCCATCGCGCGCGAGCTGCGCCCCCAGACTGTTGGCATGGCGCGTAGAGAAGTGAAGAACTACCCCGACCCTCTGCGCGCTGGACTCGTCGAGATTCGTTCCACGCTCGAAGTGTGGGGTACGAACTCGACGCTGAAGGAGAAGAAGGCGACGTTGAAGATCACGGCGTTCGATCTTGAAGATCCCCAGTGGACGAACGAGGAAGTCAAGGATGTCGTACTCGCGCCGAATGCTGCGACGGAGCTGTGGGCGGGTGATGTGCCTGGACAGCCTGTACGGACGAAGCTCAGCGAGGTGCCGCGGCCTATCATCATCAGCGCGCGCCTATTCGATTCGGACGGCTCTGTTCTGGCGCGCTACGCAAATTGGTAGGTGATCCTGTTCTCAGCGTGCAGAACGTGTGCTCATCATTGGCAGGCCTGAACCATTCAAATATCTTCACTTCCCTCCCGTCAAAGACCTCGGCCTGAAGATCACTGTGGGGGCCGACGGCGAGTCGGTTGAACTCTCCGCGTCACGCCCGATCAAGGGCATCATTCTCGATGTCGAAGGCGAAGATGCGAAGTGGTCTGACCAAGCCATCGACCTCGTTCCAGGCGACCCGCAGACTGTGAAGGTTACCGGCCTGAAAGGCCGTCAAGTCAAAGCTCGCTTCCTCGGAGACGGAACTGCTTGAAGATGATTTGCAGGTCACGGGTGACAGGAAAATCTTGGTCGCGAGTACGGAATAGCGGTGTACGATAGGAATGCTTGGTTGGGACGCCGGATGCCCGAGCACTGATAGCCATTCTTGCCCCCTGATACTACTATAGCATGGCCGTGCCCTCTGATTTCTGTTCACAACGTTGTTCTAAAGCTAGGGAATCGATGTAGCTCGTTCTATGTTGTGATCCATCTATGACTCGTCTGACGCTGTCCGTCTACTATATAGCCCGTAGTTATGTACATCGAGTCACATAGCTATATGGAATACAAAGTCTCGACGCAACGTTCCCGGTGATCCTTGGAGTAGCATCGGACATCTTTGCAGCCTGATAATCCGGTTTGCACATGACTTCAACGCGTCGTCCTATATGTTGCTCCGCGGACATTGACGAAAGCGGACGCAAGTCCGCCCGACGAGGTAGAAGTAGACTCTTCGCCAGACTTTCATGGTAATCTCGAGGAGAAGGCTCTGACTGCGTTGTAGATCTCCGCTATGCGGACGCAGCCTAGAGTCGCAATCAGCCCAGTATCGTGTGACGCTCACCTCACGGCGGCTCAATATATGGGTTTGCGAACGATGCGGCGGTCGGAACCTCATCCTACTAGGCAATGGAGAAAGGAGAAAAGGAGTTTTACTGGCTGACTTCGCCCTACATGCAGCTTAACTGAACCCCGAAGCAAACTGGCGGAGCAAGGTTTTCAACACCGTGACCGTCCAATCAAGATTCTGCCTCATATTCATCATTTCGGCGCGGAAGCAAAGCTAGTTTGCATAACACCGACAATCGATTCGGCATCCCGTGCACGATAGAGGTAGAAGGGAGGAAGGGCGGATGTGATCCACTATGTCTGGCAGACAGAGTGACCAGGAGGGTCCAGCGCGACGGACGAAGAACATCGAAAGAATACGCGGGGTATAGTAGCGGATGGTGTGGAGTGAGCGCAGGCGCTCGGGCATGTCAATGTGTCTGAGACGGGTATCGTACAATGTCAAATAATCAGAGTCTCTTCAAGTTATTGCGCTCGTAGGTAGGCAAGTCGGATGTTTAACATTCTTCAGGCGCCTTGTCCGTGCAAACGACGGTGTCCCCAGACACGCGAGGTCGAAAGGTCAGTTGGGAAGCTACGGGACTATATGAGCGCAGGAATCATCAGGCTAGAGAAACAACGCACGAGCGTTTTGAAGCAGCCGATGCAGACCCTGTAGGTTGCGTTTTACCAACACCGTCGTATAAGTCGGTTTGGGCGCCGTCCATAAAACCATATAGAGTCTGGTAGCTTGGAGGCTGCATGATATCCTCAAATTGCTAATAATGCCGACTATGAGCGTGTTGTCTGCGAGGTTACCCTGCAGCGACGTACATTTATGCCCTCGATCTGATGCCAATAGTTCGGTTGCTTAGCGCCAATTGTACAGTTACTTGGGTCAGCGGGGCGATTAAGGTATATGTCGTTGCCGCAACTAAAGATCATTGCGAATCAGCGTCCGAAGAGGGGTACGCGGAGCGCAAGGAAGACGAATTCGAGCACGAACCGGCGAGCTGGATTGCCTTGGGGGAGGGGCTGTGAGTTACTCGCGCCATCCATGTTGCATTGGAATCCATTCATGTATATCTGCGCAGATCCAGAGTCTGCCTATGAATCACTCACGTCAGTTCGACCAACCGTAGAGATAGAAACCGACATATGATACCTGATGACCCCAGAAAAACGCGCACTGGCACTTTCCGTTTGGACAAGGTGGCATGTTGCCCGGCACCGGGAAGCTGGTATTCTTGGTCCAGACGCACGTCTGGTTCACCGAGAAAACCACGAAATCCTCTGGATTCACTTCCCAGGCGTTTGACTTGTATGCAACAGCCAGTGCACATCCACCCGTGTCATTGGCGCCGGTCGTATGGAATTGGGAGAGTGGCTGGCCCGGGCATGGATAGTCTGGTTGGTCGACCGACGCAGTGTTACCTCCGGGCGCAGATGCCCACCAGGATGTTGTCCCTTTGTCGCAAGAAAGTTCGGCATTGAGGACGCCGCCAACAGGGAGTTGCATCATGTCATTGTCGTGCGGCGGGTACTTCAGATGCCCGTGCTAAGTAGCCAGATGTGAGGTCCAGCCGTGAAGACGCTGCAAAGAGAAAAGCTTTGTACTTACATACCACCTAGGATGGGGGGTCAGTATGACAGAGTGCTCATGCTAACAAAGCGTCGTACCAACTGTCAGTCTCGTCACTGGTGTTAAAGTGCCGGTTCATGAGGGGATCCACGGGGCGGTTACTGTCAGTTGAAGCATTGAAGCCAAACATGGAGGGATGCCAGAGAGCTGCGCGCAGTTAGTTTGGCGACACCTCACTGAGTTCGGCACGCGACGTACCGATGTGCGCGGACGCTTGGCCGGATAGGCACACGGCGAGGGATAGCGCGAACAACATGTTCGTGAAATGTGTAGCACCAAAAACGAGTGTGGGGAGCTATGTAAACGAGTGGGGTTGAGACAGGCGTCCCGGATGCAGCGCAGTGGCTGGTGGGGAAAGGAAAGAGCTCGTCGAGGACATTTGCGCTTGTACGTATATATGAACGACCATGGCTGTCAAGGTCGAGCGCAACGGGGTGTTGGAGCGTCGGTTAGCGCATAAATTGATCAACGCGATCATCGTTCCGGGGGGCGTCGGCACCGGTTGACCGCGTACCACCACCCTCGAACTAACTTTGGATGGATGCGCAAATAGATCTGAGAGTCCTGTATACTGTGCTGTGGCACTGGACTCATATGGATCAACAATAATCAAGCAGTATTCATGGCCACCTACTGGAGAGTGTCTCGGAAGTCGGAACTCCTGTTGTCTCAGTTTCGGATGTCGAGCCCCTTGAGGTATTGGCAAACCGAACCTCATGCCGCTGTGGAAAGGACGCACATAGTTCGTCATCTCACTGTATGTGGTGGTGATATAGCTTTGACCACATATATACTACCACCTCAGGACGTGATATACAATGGGCATCTTCATGCATCGTCATTGTCGGTACGAAGGACTGGCAGGCCGCGATGCTCGCCCTATTCCACGACTTGACTCGGATACAGAGCGGCTAGCCGCTGCCCCTTACTCAGGTTTCGGCTGGACAGATGCCTATAAGGCCTGCTCGGCATGGCTCTGTGATACTCATCAGCCTCAGCCTTTCTTCCACATTCTTCTTCGCATCACTCGCTTATTATCATGTTCGCCAAACTTGCCCCGACAACCTACAAGAAGCACTACCCGCGATGGATGGTCGGGAAGCCCTTACTCTATATGAGTTCCGCTCTAGCTAGTCTAGGCGTGCGTACCTTCCCCACTTTGACATTACCCCAGAACTGACCTTCTTGCTAGGATGCTATGTTCGGTTATGCCGCGGGCGTCATAGCCGCTAACCACGTCCAACCCTCGTTTCTTCAACGCATGTACCATGTCGATGTGACGCTTGAACAAATTCAAGCGGGGGAGACCGGTGTCAACGAATACCTCGTTGGTGCGCTAACTGCTGTTCTTCTCTTTCTCCATTTCACTGACCTGCTCACCCAGCCATCGTGGTATCATGCCTCAACATCACGGCTCTCCTCGCATCCTTCGGTGCTGCCTATATGTGCGACATCATGGGCAGGCGCATGTCAGTCCGGATTGGCGCCATCATCTACCTCATCTCGGCATTTCTTCAAATCTTCGCCCCTAACCTCGCGGTCCTTATCGTGGGCCGAAGCATCCAAGGTCTCGCTGTCGGCATCCTCTCGATGACTGTCCCTATTCTCCAGTGCGAGATTGCCCCTGGCGGCGAGCGCGGTCTCTTCGTCGCCATCGAGTACACCTGCCTGAACGCCGGCTACGCCTTGTCCGCCTGGGTTGGATACGGCTTCTTCCAGCTTATGCCGGCTGAACTGGCATGGCGTGGGCCCTACATTGTTCAGGCGGCGCTTGCGGCCATCCTCCTTGTCTGGACCTTCCTTCTTCCCGAGACACCGCGTTGGTTGATCAAGAACGGCTTCGTCGACGAGGGTCTCGGCGCACTGGCGGATCTTCAGGGCACCGGCGACATCACGAATCCTGTCATCCAGGACAGCGCGCAAGAGATCGAAGATGCCATCGTTGCGGAGGCCACCAACGGCGAGGCATCCTGGACGCAACTCTTCTCTCAGTACCCTCGTCGCGCTATCGTCGGTATCACCTGCCAGCTCTTTGCTCAATTCAACGGCATCAACGCAATTCTCTACTATCTTCCCGAGAACCTCAACCGTGCCGGTTTCTCTGTCGACCGCGCTCTGCTTTACTCGGGAGCTTGCGCCCTCATCTACTGCGCCGGCACCACACCGACTATGGCTTTCATCGACAAGCTTGGCCGTCGCACTTTCCTTCTCATCGGCAGCGTCGGGCTTGCGGCCGCTCTCGCTCTTCTCGGTGGCCTCCAGTTCTTCGTCAACAGCCTGTCTTCCGACAGCCCACACATTCTGGGTGCGGCTGACGGTATCTTTGCCGCCGTCTGTGTCTACCTCTTCATCTATGGTGCCACATGGGGCCCGACGCCGTGGCTGCTCGGTGCCGAGATCTTCCCACTTCGTGCGCGCGCTAAGGGCATGGCTCTGTCAACGTGCGTACTCTCCTTTGACTCGTACTATGCAGTTTGCTGATTCTACCCCCTCAGCATCTCAAACTGGATCTGTAACTTCATCATCGCCTTCATCACGCCTCCCCTCTTCGCAATTCTTTCGGGCGGCTACTACTTCCTCCTCCTCGGTTCTTGTGTTATCAGTGGTATCACCGTCTGGTTCCTCTACCCCGAGACGGCCTTCCTCTCGCTCGAGCAGCTCGGCTCCGCCTTCGGTGATGACCCCAAGCCCGCAAGCGAGGAGGAGCGCAGGCAGTGGCGCCAAAGTGTCACTTCCCTTCACTCCGAGAAGAAGAGGCCGACCGTTTCCGTGGGCAGCGTCAACGCGTCCCGCGACACCCTTCCCGTTCTGCGTTCTCCGATCTCGCCGGCCGAGCTCGATACCATCAATACCGCTGAGGTTCTCGCATAGTGTATACGTTTTCCCATCACGCATTGTACTCCATCTACCGCAAACTTTCCATCCCTTTGTATCATCTGTCGCTCTGTTATCTTCGCAAAGTTGTCGTCGCATTGTATATTCCTTGTTCTGAGATTACCAGTCGCAGCATAGTATCATAGCCATCGCAATGCAATCAATCAAACTTCCACATTCTACCGTTCGTAAAACAAAAGATAGCAAGTATATTGAATGTAACGTATTGTGCAGAGGAGCCTTCGTCCATTCAATCTCTGGGTCGCCGGTCCAGGACTGACTTGACAGGCAGAAGATCCTGAGTGTGCAAGCTAAAGCTTGGCGGATCGATATCCATGGCTATGTACTCTGCAATATCGGAGTCTATGGACCCCACGAACGAACCGAAGTCGGATGACGATTCTGCACCCTGGGAAAGTACGGGGTTGAAGAACGCGTCCTGGCTGTCCATGTCCTGCTGGGCCAGACGGGCTGCATGATCGTTTGGGCGGCCTTCAGACGCTTGCTTGCTCCTCTGCGAAAAGTCTCGCGACCGCTTCCCACTTCCGGTATACAGAAACGATGCGCCATTGCCGATGCGAGCGAGTGCGGCTCGCGATGAAGGTCCTGCTCGGTTCGCATTCACCTCATCGTCGGCTTCTGAATCCGACTGAGATGCGCCGAGACGCAGGGCAGGTAGAGGGCCACGCAATTCCGTATCCGAGTCAGATTCTGCGACGATGGACTGCGCGCGAGGCTTGAGAGGTGAAGGCCTTTTTGTTGCGCCCAAATCAGCGCGCGGGCGGCGGCGCTTGTACGGGGTTGATTGGGTTAGCTCCTCCTGCGTGGGCGATTCATCTACGACGGGTCGAATCGCACGAGTAGGCGATTTGATAGGCGTCTCTTCTTGAGTAGGCGAGTCAGTGAATATTCTATGCTCCCTCGCAGGTGTGAGGGCTTCCTCCCGAGTCGCCGAATCAATGGGAGCGTCTGAAGGTACAATGTGCGCCTTATGAGATGACGCCGGTACTTGGCTGGGCGGCGGGCTCGCGCGTTCGGCCGATTCCCCGGGAGCAGAGATGCGCTTGGACAAGATATATGTCTGCAAATTCGATGGGGTGGAAGCAGGAGTAGGTGATCTGCGTTGCCTAGATGGGGAGTTCGCCTTCGTGGGTCTGGGTCGTAGAGTTAGCGACACATAAAGCGAAATTAGAGGGTTCACGAACGCGGCGGCCCGAGAACTCCTCGACGGTGATGGCGGTAGGAGGAGTTCAAGCTCCTCCAGCTGCGAGGACTCTACTTGACTGTGGCTTGAATGATTAGATTTGTGTAGTGTGCTTCTAGGAGAGTCCTGTGCAAGGCGAGAAGACAACGGATCGTTAAGTAGAGGGCCGAGAATCATAGGCTGGACATCTTGAAGCTGAGTCAAAGGAGTGGCGCTTTGCGAACTATACTCAGGTGCGCTTGAAGGTGGCAGAGATGAGGAAAACGGCTGCGGAGGACTCGAGGTTGCAAAGAAGGATGGCAACTCCTGCGTCTGCGAGGATGACACTATTTCCGGACCAGACGAAGGAAGGGCGCGTCGCATATCCGTGGTATCAAGCAACGGTGAAGTCGCAGTGATTGGCGAAGTCGCGGATCGTCGGGAGGATGAAGAGCCGAACATCTCCTGCGACTGGGAAGAAGGCACGACCTGCGAGCGAAGATGCAATCGTGGCGCATCGCGCATGTGTGAAGGCAGCTCCGGCACTTTGAACTCGGGGACAGATCCAGGGCCCGACTCGATCGATGATTGTTGCGTTAATGGCGACAAAGGCCCGGATAGATGCGGTAGCTCATAGTCCGAACCGGGAGAGTGAGATCTGACGGTACGGTCCACAAACGGGTTCGAGTGAACGTCTTCATCTTCGCTGGAGGTGAGCTCGATAATAGAGCCGGATGTCCGAAGTGGCCGAACAGCTCGCTTCACTCGTGCGGCCGGAGGCGGGGAGATGTGGTCTAGCGACGAAGAGCTGATGATAATGGGAGAGGCAGCGCGAGTACCAGAACTGGGTTCAGAAGCATCCTCTGTAGGTCTATGAAATGCTCTCGTCGCCTTGCCCTTTCGTGCGGTTGCCTGTGGTGTGGGGAGGACAACGTCGGTGTCATATGCAGACGTTGTTGGTGCCGGTTGGGGAGTATCCGGCTCGTCAAGCGCCTGAATAAAGCTTATCAGTCGACTCAGAGATTGAAGAGCGGTTCTGTACACTTACAATCTGTTTACGAGCTCTGGACGAGGATGGTTGGGGAGTCGCCACACTCGATGCAGGGGTCTGGAGGCCGAAAGCTAGCTTTGCTTGTTTGGACGCATCTGCATCACATGCATACCCAGTTTGAGTACTTGAGCAGGAGTATAGGGGCCGATGGGCACGTACGAGTGGCTTTCTGCTTGGCGGGAGCCGGCCTGGGCTGTGCGACAGCCTTGCCCTTGCCCGTCTTAACGCGCTTTGACGGCGTCCAGTCGCGTTCATCATCATTCAAAAGCTCGAGCCCTTTTCGTTTGGTCGATTGACGCGTCGAACGAGTCTGTGGTGGGAAAAAGGAATCGATGGGCGCCGTACCGGCCATGCAGGCGGGACAAGAGCAGCGATCAAGCGCGCAAACGCGGTCACGACGCGTCGCGTTTCGCGTTCTTCGCACGCGCCACGCGGTCGGGGAGTGCCCCTGAGTGCATGTGTTTCTCTTCCCGCTCGGTTCTGTCCCTCATCTCTTCAGCTCGTGGCTGACGCGGGCCGGCGGGCTGACTTGGACGTTGCCAGGCTGATCAGGCGTACGCGGATCAGGCTCGCTTCAAGTGCAGTCCTATAAGTGAATCGAACCAGACGTGAGACTGAGGGCCATCAATATCATACCAGCACTCTTGACATCTGTCGCGCTACAGCACCCCTTCCTACGCCCGGCCGTCATGCTCGCCTTCCCGACACCCCGTCCGCCAGCTCAAGTGAGGCGTGCCTCGGCGCAGACAAAGTCAGAGCCTCCGCCTCCCTATGTTCACGACGAATCTATGGAAACCGCCTCATTTGCGGGCGCTTCACCTATGCCTGCCTCTCCGTGGGACGGTCACTCTAGGCAAGAACTGGCTGGCCTTCTCACTCGGGCGGATGGTCTTATTCGCCAGAGAGAGCGAGGTACGTGTGCACAGTCCACCGTCTACACCATCGACTGACCGACGTGCCCGAAGAACTGAGCCTCACATCGGACTTATCCCGAGAGCTGAACGTCAACAATCAGACCCTAAGGCAAACACACCAAGCTTTGCTCGCTCGCTTGCCCGCATCGGCCATCTCGCCAGCTACTTCGCCCTTCATCACATCACGTCAAGGGTCCCCACATGTCTACACCAGCAGTCTACCCCGCAATAGCTCTGATATACTGGAGTCTCTTCGCACTCAAACGTCCACGCCTGCACGACATTCACGCCGTGTATCCATATCCCCTGGCGAACTGGCTCGGCTTGCCGACGAGAACGCCGAATTGCTCTCGAAACTGGAACAGCTGCAGGAGGAGTCCGAGCATGCTGATCAGGCGGGTAAGCGCCGACTTGGGAAGCTTGAGGACGAGATCTCCGTCCTTAGACGTGAGTTGGAGGAAGCTCGTGCCCGTGGCGAAGCGCTGGAGGAGCATAACGTCGTTCTCCAGCGGGATAGCACCGAAACGCTGTTGCGCAAGAAGGAACGAGAAGACCGGATGCACGATGTTCGCAGCAGAGCTCACGAGTCTGTCACGCCACTTCCAAACTTTGCGCCCAGCACCACGAAAATACTACCTTCAAGCGTTCCTCGCCGGATGGCTTCTTCCAGCACAACTGTGCCGCTTATGCCTACTCTATCACCTCCAGACGAGGCCCCCGAGAACCAGGAAGCCCGCTTGAACCATACATCTCTTCCTTCCTCCGACATCTCGCGCACCCCCACCCCTGCTGTCAGCATTGGTCCTCGCGAACACGCACTCGTTTCACAGTTGCTATTGAAAGTCCGTGAGCTTGAAGAGGCAAATGAACATATCAGTCGCCACCAACAAGACACGACAACCAAGTTACGTGCCGCTCAGGTGGAGGCTGATGCCATCAAACGTTTGTACGACTATCTGGACGAGAATACGGAGATCGACATACAAGACCCGGAGGGTGATGGTCCCGGCGTTGAGGCCACTCCAACCCCGAGCTCATTCGTATTTCCGGCTCGCGACGGCAAACCGAAGACCATCCGTTTCCGCAGCCTCAGAAAGTCGCTGAATGGCGAGCTTTCTCGGTTCGAATTTGAGGCGGGCATCGATGGTGACATGCATAGCACTCTGCGGTCAGCTCAGAAGATGCAGCCACTCAAACGCAAGGCACTCGCAGGGCTATTCGATAGCCCCGGACGCGCTTCGACTACAACTGGCTCAAGTACCGTCTTTGAGGGACACCGTGCTGCTGATTCTGAAGATGGCGAAGTATCTCCAGCGCTTTCATCCATCAGCCTAGCCGAAGACGGCCAGCCTCCCGCCCTTCATCGCCGCCAGACACTCGGCAGCGAACTCGGCAGCGACTTCGCTGACGTTTTTACAGGCGGAGGTACAAGTGGACATCATTATCATACGTCGAGCATCTTCGAGTCTCCTTCGGCCGCATCATCTGTACCAGCAACTCCGTCAGAGCCGCCCAACTCTGCTCGCCAAACTGCATTCCCCTTCCCTGCCCCGTCTGTCAGTTTTCCCACGCGAGCCTACGAGGAACCGCAGACGCCCACATCCGCAGGCGGCAATGCCCGCATGCGCCGATTATCCCAGACTGTCCGCGCTCGCACGCACCGCTGGGTCGACCGCCGGCTTCACGACTCCTTCCAGTCCATGCGGCTTCCTCCAGACATCGTCCCCGAAGGTCAATCACAAACTCTGTTGGACGGCACATCGCACGCGGATTCGTCGACTGTCGTACCCGCATCGCCACTCCCGAGTACTGCCGCCATCGACCGTATGTTTGACGCTGTTGACGCTGCAGTGGATCGCATCACGCAAGTCGTTGTTCCCGTGGGCGTCAAAGTCCCCGACAGTCAGAGCACAGCCACGGTCGTTGCCACGCCTACTTCGAGATCCTCCCGACCTCTATCGCGTCGCAAACAGCTCGCAGCTGTCATGATCGAGGTCTGGCTCTGGTTGCAGTTCGCCATCATCGTGCTGGTCTTCGTGTACGCCATGGCTCGGCGTGGACCGAAGAGCATCCTCAAGGAGGCCGAGCGAAAGCGGAGGACTGCATAGTGAAACACGCGAACCCTTTCTCGGTCACCCTGTCCCCCTGTTGTATATCTCTGCTGGTTCGTCGATATTCGACCATCTATGTATTCCCTCTCTGGACAAGAGGTCAGCCTATGTACCACATATTCTTGTCTGATTGAGCACGTTGCATCCCCTTCGCATACCCATTCGACATTCATGGCGGTTCCCTCGCATTTGTACATTTGTCTCCATGTATTCCTACATACATTTCGGAAAATACTCTAAAGCCAGTAACAGGGTCCCATCCGATTGAAGTCTATGATCAATGTTAGTACCGTTGAGTGCAACAAAACAAGCACACGTACGTTGAAACCAGTGGTACCGCACCCGCTGTTGTGTCCGACAGTGATATCGTTGAAGGTCGCAGATATTTGAGCTTTGTAGATGAGTGGGTTGAGAAACCCGAGGGACGGAAGACCTTTACTCAGACGCGCATCGTTGACAAGCGAGATGATGCCAGCAAAAGTAGGCGAGCTGGCGGAAGTGCCCCCGATCAAGGCATTCTCACCGCCAATGACAACAGCGAGAAACTGGGCGATCGTTAAGCAAGACGTCCATGGATAGACTTGAGGACTCACGTCGCCTTGAGCAGATACGTCCGGGATTGCGCGGCCGTTAGGATTGAACAAACCCTTAAACGTGCCATTTGGAAGGGTGGCAAGGTATGCCGGTACAACGTCATCCTGGTATGATGGACGCGAGAACTAAACGTTAAGCAGGTCCTCGATGAGCTTCTACACAAACAGAGTAACGAGAGCCGCACAAAGTCACTGAATCCTCCGCCGGAGAAGAAACGGGATACGGCGACCTCGGGAACATGTTGCGTGGCGCCAACCTGACGGCATGACGATCAGCGTCAACGCTATCAATAAGCGTTCGTTCCAAGTTACCGCAGTGACGAATGGGCAGGAGGCCGGGAATCCAGGGATAAAGCGCGTAGCGTTTCTGCCGTCGTTAGTGAAGCATGACTGTGTCGCAGGGTTTGAATCGCCATCGCCTACTCCACCATCGCCACTGGAGAACATGAGAGACGTCCCTCGGGCCCCTGGATATTCTATGAGTACTGTTTTGGCTCCGGTAGAGACCTTTTAACTCACCGAGTTGAGCAAAGCCGGCACAGACACGGTTCGCAAATGCTCGAGGTACCTTACAAGGCCATGAGACGAGGTCACCCATTATAGTGGCATTAGCCGCATACTGTTTGCTCCTAGTAGAATGCTGTCAGTTGATTGAAACTGCCATGATGTAATTCCGTGACGTACATCATCTCCATAACTAGTGCTGATAGTCTGGGGAACCTTGCGTTGCGCGAGCACAAAGTCTAGCCACTTCCAAGAAATCAACGCATGCAAAGGCGCCAGTGTCAATATGCCAACTCACAGCTGTGTAAGGCTCGTTGGTGTCGGTGGGAGTGCCAGAGTCCGGGATGAACGGCGGCTGTCCACCTGTGCTGAAGAAGGTAGCGGGTGTTGGGAAGCTGATACCGAAGGCAAACTGCGTATCGAGGTTGGCCTCCGCACCAGCCTCGTCGAGTGTCTGGTTGTTGACTCCACCTATACGACTGTCAAACAAGAGTGTATAAGTCACATGAACACCCTCACCATTGATAAGGACACTCTTGAAGGACGAGTTGACCGCTTGAGGGACTTGTTGCGAGTAAAAGGTCTGTAGGTCTAGCTCGACACGTTGAGAACGCGTTCACCCATACGTCTCACACCGACATGATCATACCCTGGATGTTGGCATTTTGCCCGAGGTACCCCGTCACCGCCACCTCGTTGCCGTTCGTTGCAGATGGTTCAATACCAACGGCATTGTAGAGCTCCTATAAACAGATGAATATTTGGGATGGTGAAAGCGTCGGAATGATGCCTACCTTAATGCAATTAACGGTGATGGTGCTATTGCAGCTCGGATCAACAGTCACGTCTGACCCAGGTACCTTGATCCTTGGAGCATTTGCTGGTACCGCGACGGGCTGTTCGTCGTTGAGCAAGAACATCGCCTTCTGTGCGCGTGAAGTGCTGAAGTACGTCGTAGGGTGGACAAGTTCGATGTGGTTGTGGAGATCCTCTGGCAAAGAGTAAGTGGTCGTGCGGACGACCTCGTCGCCGGTTTCGATATGCCTCCAAGCATGGAATTCCTGGAAGGAAGGCACACTCAGTATGCCTGCATGCGGCACCACACACGACCTTCTGAACGTACCGTATCAAGCATCTTCTCCGCGAGAGCGACCGGGACGTTCACACCCACCCAGTCCTGTGCCGGTGAACGGGTGCATTCCGTTTCAGGTATACCATGGGAAACAAGCCAGCTGTTCACAGCGGTGAGACTATCGGGATGAGGTGCAATAAGTTCTTCAACCTCCTCCTTGGATAGGTGTGCGCCATAACGTTCGTGGTCCGGATCACTGATCTCGTATAGGTGTCTTTCGAGCTCAGCAAAGTTACGTTGCGGAAGCGCAAAGCGAAGCGGGATGACGCTGTGACTTGGGACCCGCTCAAGCCGGACCCATCCGCGAGGCGGTTGAATCCTCTCTTTGATCTTGTGGGAGGACCCAAGAGACGGAGCGGCAACAGCGGCAGAGACAAAAGTGGCGATGAACGCGGACAGGATGAGCATGGCGCGACTGGTCTGACAGAGCATACAGGTTTTCGCTTTTATAGATGCACCACATGGTCAGGACGCCATGTCGCTCGCGTCCCCGCAGTAATTGGAATGCAGTCTGGGAAGAAGGAAGCATGTCGAATGACCTCCAGTGGGGCGAGATAACGTGCTTCATACGGGATGGGAAACATGTAGAGGAAGGGGAATCCTGTGGCGAGTGAGCGTTGAGGGAAGTCTTCAGCGACCGACCCGGTATTTCCAGTTCCCCACATTCGTGAGTTCACATTACGAGACTGCGCATTTTGGGGAGGATCGAAGACGCTCTGCAAGCGCTGATGTGCTGATTGTAACCGAAAGAGTAGGCTGTCGGTGATGGAACAGAAGAAGCCCAGTGGATGTGACCAGCTGTCCCGGCGATTGACAGCTTCCAACCACCGGCAGAAGAGATAGCACGCGAAAAGGAACCTGGTTTACAAGCACGTCAATAGTGGCGATACAGGATGTTGGACGTCACTCACAGCGGTGAGTTTCTTCATACGAGCTTTGCTTGCTCTTTCTGTCGTTATGCTGTAACCTCAAGCCTTCTTGAAGGTACTCTTCACGAGTAAAGAGCTCGAGAAGCGTGCTACCGTACTAGCTGAGGTACGTTCGTCATTCGGATTTCATACACTGGACTGTCCTAGACGTTCACGGGATGGAATAGACGGCAAGTCACCGTTAGGACGCAAGAGGATCACAGCGAGGAATGAATGATATCGTGGCATATCGTTGTGAAGTAAACTCGTGATAATGAAGTCGCCGTCGGAAAGGCCGCAGGCATGAGGTGCGGGAGCCAGCGTCAGTACGAGCAGCGGAGTTATTGGCATCTACCAGAAGGCTGCCATATCATGGAGCAAGGATGGCCTTCAGCTTACCGAAGTTTGGCGTACCGTGGCCGGTGACTGGGTCCCAACCGACGGAAGTCTACGGCAAACGTCAGATCTCGCCACCGCATGCTTGTGAAGGTCGCATACATTGAACCCGGTGGTACCGCAACCGCTGTTGTGTCCGACTGTGATGTCATTGAACGTGGCAGAGATCTGCGCCTTGTATATGAGAGGGTTGAGGAATCCAAGCGACGGCAGCCCCTTGCTCAGACGCGCATCATTGACGAGCGCGATGATGCCGGCGAACGTGGGCGCGCTCGCAGAGGTACCGCCGATCAAAGCATTCTGGCCTCCAATGACTACGGCGAAGAACTGATACTCCAAGTTGAGCGGGCGGTCAACAAGACGGATCGAGATCTTACATCGCCTTGAGCAGAGACGTCCGGAAATGCGCGACCGTTAGGGTTGAATAGACCTTTGTACGTGCCCTTGGGAAGACTAGCAAGATATGCGGTCACAACTTTGTCTTGATAGGCGGGACGCGCGAACTAGACTGCAGGGTGAGTTGAATAGCATCATGAATATGATTTAGATGTCGCACGAAGTCACTAAAACCCCCTCCAGAGAAGAAGCGAGAAACAGCAACTTCGGGGACGTGTTGCGTGCCACCGACCTGATAGCGACTTGTGTATCAATATCGATATACATGCCGAATGCGAAGGACGTACCGCAGTGACATATGGGCAAGACGGCGGGAAGCCGGGAATGAAGCGCGTAGCGTTCCTACCATCGTTGGTGAAGCACGATTGAGTAGCAGGATCCGAATCGCCATCTCCAACTCCGCCGTCGCCGCTGGAGAACATCAGTGATGTGCCACGAGCACCTGGCGGTTCATTTCTCAGCGCCAGGAATTGAGATAGGCAGACAATATGCTCACCAAGCTGTGCGAAGCCAGCGCAGACACGGTTTGCAAATGCCCGCGGTACCTACCAAGATCAGGAATTCACGTTCACTCGTCACAAAGACGGAAGATACACACTGTTTGCTCCTGCAGTAGCGTTAGCACCTTCTCCCGGAAGGTTCGGTGTAAAGACATACATCGTCGGCATAGCTCGTGCTGATGGTCTGCGGGATTTTGCGCTGTGCTAACACGAAATCCAGCCACTAAAGTCTAGTCAGGACACATAAGGAAGAGTGCCAAAGACGGCTGACTGACGGCCGTATAGGGTTCATTGGTGTCGGTGGGTGTGCCGGAATCGGGAATGAAAGGTGGCTGCCCGCCTGTGCTGAAGAACGTGGCGGAGGTTGGGAAGCTGATGCCGAAGGCGAATTGAGTGTCGAGGTTGGCTTCTGCGCCAGCTTCGTCGAGCGTCTGGTTATTCACTCCCCCTTCTCAGACATCAGAGACATGCAGGGTACGGTGTATATCAGCGAAGCGCACCATTGATCAGGACGGTTTTGAAGGACGAGTTAGACGCTTGTGGAACTTGTTGGGAGTAGAAGGTTTGCAGGTCTACATCAATACAGTAAGCGTGGGTTTGCCAAGGCCGCAGTACCCTCGCACCTCGGATATTGGCATTCTGCCCGAGATACCCGGTCACGGCAACTTCGTTGCCATGCTTAGTCGACGGCTTGAAGCCAACCGCATTGTACAACTCCTGTCATTCTTTGAGCATCTGCATTCCGAGTACATCGAGTGAGCTCCCGACCTTGATGCAGTCCACTGTGATCGTGCTATTACAGCTAGGGTTCACAGTCACGTCGGACCCGGGTATCTTGATCCTTGGAGCGTTTGAGGGGGGAGAGGCGGGTATTTCATCGCTCAATAGGAACGTCGTCTTTTGTGCGCGTGAGGTGCTAAAGTACGTCGTGGGGTGAACGAGCTCAATGTGGGCGTAGATGTCCTCAGGTAGAGAATAACCCGTCGTGCGTATGATCACGTCTCCGTTTTCAACATGCCTCCATGAGTGAAATTCCTGGAGGTCATGGTGATGTCAGTGCATGAGATGCAAACGGCTTCGGATAAACGCCACGTACGGTATCGAGCATCTTCTCCGCAAGAGCGACTGGGACGTTGACACCCACCCAATCTTGAGCTGGCGAACGAGAGCATTCCTCGTTAGGTATACCATGCGAGATAAGCCAGTCGTTCACGATCGCAAGGCTGTCTGGATGCGGTGCAATGAGCTCTTCCACTTCTTCCTTGGACAAGTGCGCGCCATAGCGCTCATGATCTGGGTCGCTAATTTCGTAGAGATGCCTCTCCAGCTCAGCAAAATTATGTTGCGGAAGTGCAAAGCGAAGTGGAATGACGCTATGGCCAGGGACACGTTCGAGCCGGACCCATCCGCGCGGTGATTCGACGCTTTCCTTGATCTTGTGAGCAGACCCCAGCGACGGAGCAGCCGCAACGGCTGACACAAGGGTGACGGCGAGCGCGGATAGGACGAGCATAGCGCGACAGGGCGAACAGAGAGCACAGGCGGTCGCTTTTATAAGTGTATCTCGCGCCCATCAGACCGCATGGCCAGGGACCTTAGTCGCCGGGGTAAATGGGATGCAACATGAGAACGAAGAAGCATGGCAGATGGCTAGCAAGTGGGGCAAGATAGCGTGCTTCCGTCTGAAATAGAGAGGATATAGCGAGAAGGGGAGCCAACGGCGAATGGTCTCCGGGCATGTTCTAGGCGACCCGACCGGTATCCGCACTTGATTACCCACATTCGTGAGTTCGGATTACGAGAAGGTGTTTGTTTAGAGGAATCCAACGTCAAGTTGCGCGCTGATGTGCGGGTTTTCTACGGACGGGGGGACCCTTGGTGGTGGAACAGAACAAGTTGAGAGAAAGAGCGGGCCGTGTTGAAGGGCGCATATGAGCCGCTGGCGCTGAGAACGGCGAGCGCAAAAAGCCGAGATCAAAAGTTAGTGTATCACCGAAGCGCGGCTCGGCCGAAACTGCCACGGCAGAGACGCTCGCTGTAGCATGTTATCTTATCCGAGCCTGTGGCGGATCGACGAAGATGCAACCGTTCCGAACGTAGCGCGGATACTCAAGTACGTACAGCGGGCGCACAACTTGACTCCGACCATCGTCGCCCCGTAACCTCGATCTCTCGTTCGGATATGCCTCGTCTCGCGTACAAGGTATGCCAGTTCACGATTCAGATAGAATATCTCTCACAGAATCTAGTCTGCTATCGTCACAGGAGCCGGCTCGTAGGTTCCGTGTCGAGCACTTGCAATATACTGTACTAATGGGATCACGCAGCGGCATCGGGATGGAAACCAGCATCCTGTTCGCGTCTGAGGGCGCGAACGTCCTCCTCGTCGACATCAACCTCGAAGCCGCAGAGAAAGTCGCCACTCTGATCTCATCGCGCTTCCCGAATGTGAAGGCGATTGCTACCAAGGCCGATGTCGGGAAGGAGGAGGACATCAAGGCTGCCGTAGATAAGGCTGTTTCCGAGTTCGGGCGTTTGGACGTTCTAGTACGTATTGCGTACACTCGTCTTTGATCTCTGCTGAACACTCTTCGTGCACAACTAGTTCAATAATGCTGGTATGTATATCCCGTGCAAAGCTTGATCGCGTTATTAACCTGAGAGTATAGGCATCATGCATCCAGCCGATGACAACGCCCTGAACACGGAAGAGCGGATCTGGGATCTGACGATGCAGATCAATGTGAAGGGCGTTTGGTGGGGTAGCAAGTACGCCATACTCGCGATGCGCAACAACTCTACCGATGAGTCCAAGGGTCTGCATGTCGGTGGTAGCATCATCAACACGGCCAGTTTTGTTGGCACACTCGGCGCGGCAACACCGCAGATCGCGTGTATGATCAATCAACACAGGTCACTCCAAACCCGTGCTAACGATGAGTCGTGTAGACACGTCCTCGAAGGGCGCGGTTCTCGCCATGACACGCGAACTTGCGATGATTCATGCTCGCGAAGGTATCCGCGTCAACAGTGTTAGCCCTGGCCCTCTCAAGACGCGTACGCAGTCTCGTACTCATTATCATACTCATCTAACTATCTAACCTGCATTTCCAGCTCTCCTCATGGACTTCCTGAACACCGCGGAGAAACGGGACCGGCGCATGGTTCACCTTCCCATGGGCCGCTTCGGCGAGGCGGTTGAGATCGCCAAGGCAGCCCTGTTCCTCGCCACGGACGAGAGCAGCTACATGACGGTTCGTTTTTGTCGACGAGTCCCGGACTTGCTGTATTCTGACCTTCCTTCAGGGTACCGATCTCAAGGTCGACGGTGGCCTGACATCGGCGTATGTGACCGCCCTGGGCGAGCCAGTCCTGCCGCCGCCGTCGAGCCTTGCTGCATAGATAAGAGATGAAGGTGTCCATATTTTGTCCAAATGCACAGTTGTACATCACGCCATGTTGTACAGTAATAGATACTTCTCCTGCCAGCTTGAACAGAGCACACGATTCCGTGCCATTCTGTAGATCTGTCCTCATGTGCGCGACTAGAGTTCCTTCTTAGCCGCTTCCTGCGCCCGCCTCTTGTCGCCTTCAATCTTCTTGATGCGCGCAATCTCCATGCCGATGTCGTTATTCAGCTGTTTGTGAAAGTCGGGACGATAGCCAAGTTTAAACAAGATTTCCAGATGCACAAAAAACGGAGCAAGTACAATAGCTATGAAAACGTAGTCAGACGCATATCATACAACGGCAAGGGAATAAGTACGGACCTCCGAGAAGATTGTCCAGTAGCGCCGGCGCACGATGCTCTGCAAGACCGTGGCCGAGGAACTGTGCAATCCACGAGAAGGCTTGAACGCTACCCGCAACGGCAAGGGCATTCTGCTTGTGTGCAAAGGACGTGGCAGTCAAAAGGGACAGAAGCATCTGAGGTGTATAGAGTAACTGGCCAGACGGTTTGTCAGCCACGTTGACAAGTATTTGGCGAGGTTATGGTACCCACAGCTGCCACGGGCTCCAACACGAAGAAATAGCTCAGATAAAGCGCGGTCTGTATCAGACCATAGTTGAGCTCGAGCTCGAGATAATCGTTTATCTTGTAGTCGTAGACGGGGAGCCACGATGGCCTCGGCGCATCAGTAAGGAGCACCTGCGCGGACCTGTAGTATGTTGAGCGACGCCGAAGACCTGAGGCCCCAATAGAGCACCGACCACATGATCATAGGAACACAACAGACATGGATGAGGATATTCGTAGGATTCGAGTGGTATGCCCCGTAGAAAGTTAGCTGAAGGTGCTTCAGTGCGGGGTAGAGACATCCGGTCAATGCTAGGGCGTACTTGCTTCCTCACGTCTGTGAGCCCTGACCAAGACATCGTCCAACTACAAGCGCAACAGGTGGGGATGGGTAAATCGCAGCGATGGTGGAAGTAGAGGTTCAAGAAGGGTTCGGTAATCCGGGGCTGTCGGGACCTCTTTGGCGGTGTTATGATCAAGTGCAAAAGCACATGGGTACTTTCGCTGAGCTAGTCGCCTTCTAGGCCGGCCTCGTAGCTGAAGCGGCATGGTGCATGTTGCTTTTACACGATGGTCGGAAATATGCGTGGTCGTATTCAATTCGTCCGCCGGTCAGTGAGGGCTAAGAGCGAGTATGCGAGTAGCCAATGCCTTGTTGCCGAATCTCCCACGTGGACGATGAGGAACACGTCCCCCCATACCAAGTGGCGCTTCGAACTAACCGTCATCCACTCCCATTATGGTCCGCTCTACCATTATTGTACGCGCGTCGGACGCGCTACCACTCGCGGCCAGTGTCGACGACGAGCAGGTTCGCTGCCACAATGCATGGTGTGTGGCCGTGACCTCACCACCTTGTATAGACCGAACAGAAGCTGTCCGAGCAGAAACAGCAAGCCAAGCTTATATTCCGCCGCATAACACCCCAATCCGAGTCGAAACTCTCCATTGAGAGCGGGGCGTATACACTCCAGTATGCCGTGCTTGGTCCGTGCTTTGACTGGTAGCTCACAGGCCGTATAGCTATCTCATCGCAAACAATGTCGTATATTTGACTATCGCCGAAAAATCGTACCCTCGGAAACTTGCTTTCTCGTATCTGGACGAGCTCTCGAAGGAGTTCTACGGGTCATATGGCGCGAAGGTTGAGGAGACAAGGAAACCATATGCGTTCGTGAGCTTTGGTACGTTGCTCTCGACACTTGCAGCATCCACGGCTGAACCCTGTTGATAGACACCTTCATGTCGAAGACCGCGCGGCTATACAGCGATACTCGGACAGCAAATGCGGCAGGAGGCTCTGGCCTTGACAGGCTGAATGACGACTTGCAAGACGTGACGAGGATCATGACGAAGAACATGGAGGAGCTTCTTTGGAGAGGGGACTCTCTGGACCGTGCGTCTGAATGCCGCATGTTGTTGCACTCTATCCGATTCTAACCCTCCGGTAGGCATGTCGCACCTATCAACTTCTCTGCGCGCGGAGTCCGAGAAGTACCGGAAGGCGGCCCGCAACATCAATGTGAACGCCATGATTCGGCAGTATGCTCCTATAGCAGCTGTGATCTTTCTCGTTATTCTAATCTTGTGGTGGAGGCTTTGGTAGACGCAAGTCGCGTATAATAGCTTTTTTGATGTGGACATCCTTGTTTAATATCGTGGATTTATTGATACCATAACGGGTACATGGCGTACCGCAGTTACCCAATTGAGCACAACATACAGGTGCCATCTACTGTAGCGCCTAGAGACTTGAATCGATTGGTGTCTTGCCCAAATCAGCCTCGTAGAAAGCTTTGTAGGATTTCAGGATCATTCCAGTCGATGTGGATGATTCAGGCTTTCCGCCGCGCGAGATATTTGGGCCCATTTGCAAGCCAACTTTGTCTTGTCTTCGACTTGATCAAGTTCGCCTCAGGTCAGCTTTCCGGGATTCTTCCCAACAGAAGACACGAGGCCTACAGCCGTTATCGTGATCAGACTCCCCGGCACGATGCAGCGGCCTAGTAGACCCGGTATATATACTTCAACGCGCCTGCGCAAGATGCTTTCGCTCCTCCCTCGATCCCACCCAGCCCTGCGATCGATACCCTATCACCATGTCGCGCATATACGGAGGTGTCCCGGGTCGTGTGCCCAGTCCGAATCCTAATCCGATTGGTCTGCCGCCTCAGGCAGCCTCCCCAATGTATCGCAGCGCGTCCCCGCAACCTCAGCCCATGGGCGTCAATCCCAACCAGATCTCGCCCGACACCATCACCTATACCACGTCCTACGGTCCAGATGGCCAGATTGTATACCATCCGTTCCGGTATGCACGCTGGATCCTGTTGTGGCTCGCAAGTCGCTGATCTTCGCTTCCGCGACTGTAGCGCCGTCCCAGTCAAGTACGTCGATCCATCAGTTGTCTGATTCTCGGGGTCGCTGATCTTCCTTACAGCTATCAGACCCCCCAAGGTATCGTCGCAGGAACGCAGTGGGTTCCCGCGGAGGCCACTACTATCTTGCCAGCAGGCGCACAACCGGCCAATCCAGTGAGTGCAATGCGCCTTTGTTTCTCTGGCAGAGACTTGAATCTCTATCAGGATTTCTCGCAAAATTGGGCCAAGAAGACGTTTGGCCATGACGACAGAGCCTTGCGTGAATGGTGTGTGCTCCATTTCCACCCTTTACCCATGACGATCTTACTCAGACGGCCGCGTGTAGGCAACGTGCAGAGGAGAAGCGCCGGCGCAAGGAGGAAAAGCACGCGGCTAAGCGCCTGGAGCGTGCCGACCGCGACCGCCGCGAGCGAGAGCGCGAGGAGAAGGAAGCTCGTCGCGCCGAGCGCGATGCGCGTATGTACGGAGGCCAAGGAGCTCCCGGCGGGATGTCTCCTGCCGGCGGCTATATGCCGTCTCCTGCCGCGGGATACAGCCCTTACACTCCCGTGAATGAGCTGGCCGGCCAGATGAACACAGTCAACCTAGGCGGCGGTAATCGAGGCAGCCTCTACGGTGACCCGACCGGTGGTATGCCGAGATCTCCGATCGCATCGTACACCAGCCCGCCCACTGTGGGTCATGCTCCGCCTTCTCCGTATCGAGGCGGCGGTGCACTTCCTGGTCGCTCTGCGTCTCCGATTCCGCCGTCCGGCATCTCGGTAGCCCCGATGTCAGGTGGTATGTACGCAACACCTCGTTCACGCGCACCCTCGCCTCAACCTGGTATGCCAGGTGGCCTGCCCGGTGGTTCCCCATACGGAGCCGCACCTGGATCGAACATGTATGGTGCCCAGGGTACGAACGCGTATGGCGCTCCTCAGACAAACGCTTACGGCGCTCCGACTGTCCCTGGGTCGAACCCGTACGGCGCGGCCCCCGCTCCCGGAACAGGTCCTTACGGACCTCACTCTCGTGCACCATCACCTCAGCCGGCTCCCTACGGGCCACCTCGCTCTCGCGCTGCGTCACCTCAGCCCGGCTACGGTGGTCAACCTGGCTACGGTGCCCAGCCCGGTTACGGCGGCCAGCCTGGTTACGCTGGACAAGGCGCGCTTACACGCCCTGGCGGGTCGCCCATGCCTGTCAACGCGGCGTTGGCCAACGATCAAAGCCTGCTTCAACCGCCGGATGGCTTCGCGCGTCCGCCCAATCTTGCGCTCAGTTATACCTGGTTCGACCTCATGAAGATTCAGCACATGGATGACTTCTACGAGAGCCTGCCGCGCATGCCTCTTGTTCTCGTTCCTCACGATGTTTATCATGAGGACTGGATCCGCTTCATGACCGATCTTGCGCTTGCTTGGGCCGGTAAACTGCCGTCGGCAGGTACGACGAAGGGCTCGACACTTTCGATGGAGCTCATCGACCTCTGGAACACCGCGTTCTTCCATCAGCGCGGTGTCGATATCATCCTCTTCCGTGGCCGTGAACGTCGCACCGGCAAACATGCCGGCCAGATTGAGTCCGCGCTGCCCGGCCATGACGACTCGGACGACGATACGGACGACTCGAGCGACTCGCTCTCGGACGACTCTGACTTGTCCGACTCTGACGGCGACTATCGCCCTCAGCAAGCTGGGTACTATGGCCGCCCCGAGGATGCGTACCAAGCGGAGATGCGCGATGCGAAGCGCCGCGCGAAGGAGAAGAAGGTGGAGAAGAGGCGCAAGCACAAGGAGAAGAAGGCGCGCCGCAAGGCCAAGGAACGCGAGCGTCGTTACTCCCTCTACATTGCCTGCCTCACGGCTTCGGACGGTTGAATATGCTCGATTCAGCGGATGATTTGCTTTGAGAGACATGCCATGATATAGTGTACAATATCTATCTATGTGGAAGGATATGCATATGCAGACATTACTGGTTCGTTGTCACAGCCCCATTCAGGCCGAACTCGGGTTAGGGTTTCCGTTGGGTCTTTTCGTGAAGAGAAACCCTAACCCGTTGCAGATGTTTTATACGACGAGACTGAAGTCGTCCTCTAAGAAAGGCGACAGACTGATATGTATATCAGGCGGAACACGGCCCTTCGAAGAATTCCCGGCAAAGACCCGCTACGTGGCTTTGTATATCCAACCATGTGCTCATGTGTACGGGTAGCATATGCAGGCAGCTTTGGGATGAATGACGGCGCGAGGGTGAGGGAAGCGCGGATGAGTCCATGGCGGCCATGCTCAAGTGGTGAGCAACAAGTGGCGTCTGAGAAAATCAAGTGTGACCGTCCCGACGCGGCACCGCACCCTTTGTCCTTTGACCACGACGACGCCTTGACCATCGTTCTCGGCGACGCCTGTCTGTAGTACACACGTGACTATATAAAGGCTGGGATTGCTCATCAGATGATAGACACAACTTTTCCCACTTTCCCCCACCGCGAGCCGGGCGCTCTGAGCCTCCCGCGCTGCCACGATGCTCACGCCCGAACAGGAGGGCCACCTCCGCCTGCTCGTCCAACACACCATGCGTGCATTCTACGAGCCCCGATTCATTATTGCAATGGACCAGCTAGCCCGGCACAATGTGTGAGCGTCTTGTCATGCTCACTCACTTTTCTCTTTGAATTCTAGCGTCATCAGCATCAAGGACGAGGAACTCGCCGGCAGACTTGGCCTAAATACCAAGGAGGTCAACAAGATCATGGCCGTGCTGGAGAAGGATGGGCTAGTACAAGTGTGCGTTCCAAGAGATCTCATGAGATCCATATCTCTTACCCCGTGCAGGCAGCGGCAGAACGAGCTCAAGGACGGCGCACAGCGCTCGGTCGCCCGCCAATACTTCTATCTCGACTTCAAACACTTCTGTGACGTTGTCAAATGGCGCATGGCACAGATGCGTCACATCATCGACTCGAAGCTGCGTAATGTACGATCCCCGCATCCTTCACTCGCCTCGTCACGCATTATAACTCGGTTTCCAGGAACTCGACAACAAGGGCTACGTCTGTCCACAGTGCAAGAAGCAATATACACCGCTCGAAGCAGATCGTCTGCTCGACATGTCCCGCATGATCTTCGCCTGTGAGGTCTGTCACCACGAGCTTATCGACAACGAGGACGATGAAAGCGTCCGCGGCAGTCAAGACCGTATGGAGCGCTTCAACAAGCAGATGCGCTTCATTCTCGACGGCTTGCGTAAGTCAGAGGAGATGGTCATGCCAGCGTCAGTATACATGATCTTAATCGTCCCCCTCGTTGAGACTAATCACTTTTCCAGTTTCGATGTCTCCGCGGTCATCAAAGCCCAGTATACCGAGGCCGCTGCTGCGCAGGCTGCCAACGGCGAGCCTGGCGCAGGTCTCAAGATTGCCGGCTCCAGTGGCCCTACAGCGCTAGAGACGAACAAGATCGGTGTCATGTTGACAGTGGACAAGGATGCCGATACTGTACGGCGCGAACGCGAGGCTGAAGCGGCTGCGAGGAGACAGCAGAATGCCCTCCCGGCGTGGCACTTGAAGAGTACGGTTTCTGGTGACTTGACGGCGCTTGGCATTCGTGAGGCCGAGAGTGCCAGTGCACACGCTCATCAAGACTTTGCCGAGATGATGAAGGGAGATGAAAGTCTGGCGGGATTGGGAAGGGTAGGGCCAGCGATCGTTGGCGGACAAGCGGATGGAGGGGACGTCAAACCTGTCATCAGCAATGAGCCTCAGGAAGATGGTCAGCAGTCTCCATCTTAAGATGCTTTCCCACCACTAACATGAACGCTCGTTTAGAGCTCGACCAGTATTATGCATCACTCGCTGCGACGCCTGCGCTATCTCAATCGGTGTCAACGCCGGTCGACGACGACTTCGACGTGTCCGGGTCTCGGAAACGTTCGCGCTCAGCGGAGGACGTTGGCGGAGGTCCGAACAAACAACCGCGATTGGACGACACAGGAGATGGGGCTATGGTGGTGGATGGAGATGATCCTATCGTATATGGTACGTCCTTGGATAGCTCTACTCTTCGATGGCCATCTCGTTTACGCATCCTTCTAGTGGCTGGAGAGGCGCGTGCTTTATCAAGCATAACAGACGCAGATCAGGAGCGCATGACTGAGGATGAATACACGGCATATGCGGAAGCGATGATGAGCATGTAATTCTATATTCCTCCTCTTGGCTTCTAGTTCCGGTTGGTCCGCAATATATCTTCGACACTCGTCCTACATAAATGTCCCCTCTGCGCCACCTTGCCTCAGATTTCGTCGTCCTTCACACTGTATCTAACTCCCTGGGTCGGCAACCCATTTTATCATACATTGTTGTTAGCCCCTACTAGTGCACACACTGCAGGCGGCTGGTCATAGACGAATATATGATCCGTATGCCAGCGCGTTCTACGTACGCATGAGGCCAGCCGCGGGGAGATTCTCCCCATCATGGCGATCTGTCGCAGACATACCATAGCGCGGGCTGTACCGAGGGGCCTTTCATTTATAGAAGTGGAATGGAATAACGAGTCATTGCGCTATATACAAATTGCAGCTACAGAACCGAGAACATACGGCAGTGCATCGACAGAAGTATGGACATTGGGGCAGTCTGGGGTGTAGGGTAGGGTTAGGGTGACGCTCGAGCATGGACATATATGACGGGTGCGTGAGGGTTGTGAAGGCAGTGAACAGTAAGGAGGAAGAACAGTATAAACAAGAACTATGAAAGAATTAATGCAACAAGGATCGCAGAATCCGATGAGGAGCTGGGGGCGTGATGCATACAAACAGACAACAATGGTCGAGCAAACAAAGAGAGTAGAGGACGAAGGGCAAGGGGGTCATGTCGATATGTATCCGCTGTCATAAACATCGTTCTCCTCGGCGTCGCCGAACAGCTCCTCGAACACTTCTCCGCCGGGGACGCTGAGCGGCGGTAGCAACCCGCGCCCAGAACCCATTGGCCGTTCGGGTTCCTCCCTGGCGCGCTTGACCCGCTTCAACCGCTCGCGCTCCCAGATGCCCTCAAGCGCGCGAGCGACACTGCGCAAACCGAACAAGAACCCGCGATCGGGCTCCTCGGGGTAATGCGGCGGAAAGCGTGCGCGTACGAGACCCGTCGCAGGGTCGACGTCGCCCGTATAACCGACCTCCTTCTCGCCTTCCTCGCCTTGTTCGGTCTTCGTCGCACGCTCCTTCTCACGCTCCTTCTCCGCAGCGCGCTCTTTCTCGAGCTCAGCGTGCGGTACGACGACGTAGTCGCGTCCAGTCGTCATATGAGCGAAGTCAACAATCCGGAGCTGGACCTCACCGCGCTTGCGCTTACGGGAGGCGCGTGCGCCAGCCGGTCCCGCAAGAAGGTCCTCGGAATGCGCGCGGCGGAGGCTGGGAGCACGAAGTGCAGCGGCATCGTCGGGCGTATGTGTGCTACGGCGCTCGAGGCTCTCGCCGCGCTTCTTGCGCGACGAAGGGTGCTCAAGCACAGCGCCGCGGCACGCTTCCTGCGCCGCATGATCACCATCATAGATGAGTAGCAGGCTACAACCGTAGAAGCGGTATCCGCGGAGGCGTGCGACGATGCGAGCAAGTTGGTACACCTTCGTCAGGAGCAGAGGGATTTGATACACGAGCAATCGTTCGCCGTCGTGCAAGAACGACTGAAGCGCCGACGAAAACCCAGCGGGGTCGAGACTGCGACCGAAGTACTTGTCCTGCGTCGTGTACTCGCCGGTCTTGTTGTTCCAGACCTGCATCCCGCACATGCGTACACCGAGCGTGCGGCTGGTACTGCGATCACACTTCTTTCGCTGACTCTTCTTCTTCGCGCTCGTAGCGTCCAGCCCGTACTGCCGCGTTCCCATCTTGAGATCAAGCACACATGGCCGACGAAGGCGGCCTGTCAGGTCCTCCATAAGAATGAAGTGATTCTGGCGGGTGAAGCTTGCAGGCGTCTCCTCAGGGCTGGAAAGATGTGGCGTTATGGGGGTGGATTTGGGCGAGAATATGCGTGGGCGTGCGGTGGGTGGTACGGAGGGCGAACGGGATTCATTGACGGGCGCGTCGGGGTTGTGCTCAGGCTCGTCTTCGAAATGAAAGAGCTCCCCGTCAGCGAGCATCCTCAGTTTATCCGCGCTCGCCATGCTTTCTTCACTCTGCACACGGCGCAAGGCAGCCTCCTCGCGCAGAAGCCGGTCCATGGGACCCTTAGCCGCCCGCTCGCGCGTCGGCCGCAATGCGGGAGAAGAAGGCGGACCCGATTCCTCGCCGTCGGCGTCACCCTCGTAGTCCGGGCCGTATGCCGGGCTTCCTGAGCGCTCGCCGGCGTCCCAGCGGACGTGACGCCGCCGACTGAGGCGGCGGAGGATGGCGCCAAAGACGTGGTCTTTGAGCTTGGTATTGACCGTGGTGCTGCCAAGACCGCCGAAGGCGAGTTGCTCGCTATGGAAGGGGCGGAAGGCGGGCCGCTGAGCGCTATCTTCCCCCTCGCGCTCCGTGTCGTTTCCGGGCGACGGATCCTGCTCGTGCTCGTCGTCCGCAACGCTGTGATCGGCGTCGTCAGGCTCAGAGACAACCTGGTGCTGCAATCCGCGTCCGACAACGTTTGGCGAGTTCGCTGGCGTCGCAGGAAGCTTGGTGTCCTCCGTCTTGGGAACATCGACGGCGCCGATCTCGTGCGCGAGTGGGCTGCGCATCGCTGTCCCGCCGCTCAAACTCATGCTCTTCGGCCGCGGAGTGCCGAGATCGGGACTGCTGACCGCACCTGCCAGAAAGGGCCGGCGGACGTGCCGTGGTAGGGCGGCGGCATATGAATGCGACATGGCACGAGTGCGGGCGTGAGCAGCCTGCCGGAGGAGCCATTCGGGTACGATGTGCCTGTTGCGGTCGAGAATCACTTCTGGCTGCTCCTGCTCCTGCTCAGTATCGCCATCTTCATCATCACCCTCGCCGTCATGTTGCGTATCCTCAGGGCTAGGCAAATGCGTCTTGCCGCTGTTACCCTTGGTGGTACTCCGGCGCGTGAGGGAGGGGCGGG